TGGTAGGGAGCACCGCGGCGTAAGGAGGCAGCCATATGCCCCAGGGGCAGTTATGTGCCCTGCCTGGCAGAACCAGGGCTGTGGTGAACTGAGGCGAGGGAGCTCCGAAGGACCGATGGGCCGACAGAGTGGCCGGATCGATAATGCCTGAGGGCTCCGGGCAGTCTGGGCCCCGCCCCACTCAGGGGAGGCTTCTTTCAGCTTCCCCAAAAAGGCAGGTTTGGGAAGGCTCAGTCCACGCTGAACCCAGAACCCGCCCCCCTTGCGCCTTCCCAGCGAGAGTCCCTCGTGAGGAGGATTCCTCTCAGGGTTTTAGTCCCAACTCAGAGACAGCGCTCCTGGCGCTAGGGCAGAGCTGAGCTCCAGATGTCCCGGCGCGCACAGCTGGAGAGTCACGTGGCAGCGGCCATGCCCCCGCCCCCCCTTCCTGCCAACACTGCATTTGGCCCAGGCCCTGTCCATGGCCGCCCCTGGGACCCCGCGCTGAGCCCCGGAGGCCCCGGCGTCCGGGGCCGTGCCGCTCCGGAGGGCCGAGCGTGAGTGTCTGGATCCCAGGGACCGGCTGGGGGTGGGGGAAGGGTGAAGGAATGGGACCCCAGGGAGGGAGGTGCGGGCGGGGGAGTGGGGCCGAGGCTCCCCGCGTCTCCAAGTCCAGGCCTGGGGACACCGGTCTGGGCCGGGGCTGAAGGTGGGGGGTTGGATACAACCGGGAACTTCCTCCCATTCCGGCGAGTGTATCAGAGCCGGGAGTCGAACGACCGAAGCGGGAGACCCCCGAGGCGTAGCCTCCGCCCCCTCCCTTTGGGGAGGCGGGGCCAGGAGCCCCTGCTGAGCTCCCGCCTCCTGAGCCCCCTGACTGCGTCTCTCCGCAGGGGGCACCGGCGCCGGCCACGCCGACATGCGGCGGAGTCTGCGCCTACGCGGGGACGCGGCGCTCATGCTGGTACTCAGTGCCACCCTTGGCCTCCTGCTTTACGCGCAGCGCGACGGCGGGGCCCCGACGACAAGCGCTCCGCGAACGCCAGGGAAGGCGGCGCGGAGGCCCAGCCCAGTGCCCCGCGCAATCCAGGCACCAGACGCGGGTGCAGCCCCCTTGGCCTACGAAGGGGACACGCCAGCGCCGCCCACGCCTACAGGACCCTTTGACTTCGGCCGCTACCTGAGCGCCAAGGATCAGCGGCACTTCCCGCTGCTCATTAACCAGCCGCACAAGTGTCGCGGCGATGGCGCACCCGGCGGCCGACCCGACCTACTCATTGCTGTCAAGTCGGTGGCTGCCGATTTCGAGCGGCGTCAAGCCGTGCGCCAAACGTGGGGTGCTGAGGGCCGAGTGCAGGGGGCGCTTGTGCGCCGTGTGTTCTTGCTGGGCGTGCCCAGAGTCGCGGGCATGGACAAGGCTGACACGGAAGAGGAGGGTATGCGAGCGCATTGGCGCGCCCTGCTGCGCGCTGAGAGCCGTGCCTACGAGGACATCCTGCTCTGGGCCTTCGACGACACTTTCTTCAATCTAACGCTTAAGGAGATCCACTTCCTGGCCTGGGCCTCAGCCTTCTGCCCCGACGTGCGCTTTGTTTTTAAGGGCGATGCTGACGTATTTGTGCACGTAGGAAATCTGCTGGAATTCCTAGCGCCGAGGGACCCGACAGAGGACCTGCTTGCAGGTGACGTGATTGTGCAGGCTCGGCCAATCCGCGCGCGGGACAGCAAGTACTATATCCCCGAGGCTGTGTACGGCCTGCCCGTCTACCCGGCCTACGCGGGTGGCGGTGGCTTCGTCCTTTCGGGGGCCACGTTGCACCGCCTGGCCGGTGCCTGCGCACAGGTTGAGCTCTTCCCCATCGACGACGTGTTTCTGGGCATGTGTCTTCAACGCCTGCAGCTCACACCCGAGCCTCACCCCGCTTTCCGCACTTTTGGTATCTCCCGGCCTTCGGCTGCGCCACACCTGCGAACCTTCGACCCCTGCTTTTACCGAGAGCTGGTCCTGGTGCATGGGCTCTCGGCCGCTGACATCTGGCTTATGTGGGGCCTGCTGCATGGGCCACGCGGGCCAGCCTGTTCACATCCGCGGCCTGCTGCTGCAGGGCCCTTTCGATGGCGCCCCTAGCCACCCATCACCGCCCAAGTTGAGTGGCCCAAGGTCCCCTCACTCAGACCCAGGATGGAGTGGGTGGAGGCTTGAAGAGGTTTACCAGATCGGTGCGTTATTGCGGTCTATGTGGTTCTTTCCCAGGAAGGAGGGGAGTTTGGGATCTGGCCCCAGAAGACTAACTGTAGGGTGTAGTCTCCACAGGGCCCTAAAGAATGGAGGTTGAACTTGGCTCCTGCTGGCCCACCTTACAGGGAGCTGGTCCCGGAGCAGTCTAATGGCAACCCTTTGAGATAGTCAGGGATGAGGGATGAGGAATGAGGTGGGCCCATGTTTGGTCTTCCCAGTAAGTAGGTGTGTATTGGGGGTGAGTGGCAGGGGCTTCTGTGCCATGCTTACTCCTTGATTTGGAACCCCTGGATGATGCAAGGGAGGCCTTTCTCAAAGTTGGATCCCACCTGGAGGTGTCGGGGGCCTGGCCTCAGCCCTCATGCAGCTGGCAGCATCCTGCCACCACTCAACCTGAAGGCACAAGTTGTGCTTCCCACCTGTCCCTCCAAATTGGATTCCCAGCTCTGTCCAGGTCTTTAGATCTCCCCCTCTTGAGGTCCGCTTTCCTGGAGCCAACCCCTCCTGGGTTCTAGTCTGGCTGATACATGAAGGATGGAGTCCCATAAACAGGGACAACTGAGTGCCTGGTCCCACCTAGTCTTTCCCCATCTCCAATTATCCATGACATAAGAACCTCCACCCACATAACTATGCCAGTCTCCTGCTGGAGGCTGCGGAGCCAAGGACCCTTTCCCTCTAAAACTCCTCCAGCATAAAATGTCCCATATTCTTCAACCACTCCCATTTCTCAACAAAAAACTGACACCATCACACTTATTTTAGTACAAACATCCCAGCAACAGCTCATGGTGGGCAGTTGCTGAGGGCATACGTGCTTTATCGGAGCGGGTAAGGACACGGATGAGGAAGGCTGATGCAACAGTCCTGGCTGCCCCTGACAGGATATGTGGGAGTCTCTGGCCAGGCCACAGTCCACATGGGAAGACACCACAGTCGGTCACAAAGTCACAGGAGTGCCACACAAGCCTGGCTGTTGGCCCAGGAACCACAGAAACCTGGGGCAGGTCCCCTGCACGTTCACTGTTAGACTATACAGGATGAGGCTGTACATGAGTTAATTACAAAGAAGTCGTATTTACAAAAATCTGTACACACATCTGAAAAACCTCACAAAATTGTCATCTATGTATCACAAGTTGCTAGACCAAAATATTAAAAATGGGATAAAATTATACATTTCTCTTCTCAATTCTTTTCAAAAGGATTAATGTTTTTAAAGCACATATGTTACTTTCCTTAAGAAGACCCATGAAGAGACCAAGCAGATCCAGCCCTCCTTGAGCCCCCAAAGGCCTGGCCAGGGGACACTGCCCAAGGCAGGGGCAAGGAGCCATCCCACAGTGCAGAACAGAATGCTGGAACACAACAAAGGAAGGCAGATGTCTTTGGCTAAAACTTTGGCATCAAATAAAAAAGGCAAACAGAATGGAAACATGCAGCCCCGCCAGCCAGGTTGGGGGAGAGCAGGGGCACAGGTGGCCGTGAAGGCTGGCTCCAAGATGGGAGGGGACCAGGCCTGGGCATGTTCCCGGAGGGCAGAAAGCTGTTTCAACCACTCAGAGGTGCCTACTGGGTCTGGTAGGGAGCTCATACAAGAAAGGAACAGGGAAGGGCAGGCGGGCCGGATGGGCCACAGCCAGCTCATCAAGTAACTAAAGTGGATGTAGTGCAAACGTCACAACCAAGTACTATGGACATGCTACCTGCTTGCTTTAAGGGTCACGTGGCAATGTGTAGCCAAAGTAAAGACTCCTTGTCCTCATCCAGGATGTCTGTGTCCTCAGCCACAGAAAGAGTCCAAGTTTTCCCAATGTGTATGAGACAGAGTCCACAGAACCCTGCCTCATGTGTTGGTCGAGAGTTCCTGGAGCCAGGTATCAAGGCTGTTTGTGCTTCTCTTTGCAGTCTGTGTTCCCTGCTGGCTGGTGCCCACAGGCTGAGGATGGACAGAGGAATAATCTGGGCCCTCACCCTGCTGCAGAGCACTACACCCAAGCCCCACCTCAGAGCATCACAACAGCCCTTCAACACTGGCAAAGTGTCCAAGAAAACCCACAGGGTGGCACAATACAGCCCACTGAGCAGGATACAGTGCACAGTTCCACAGGGCAGGGGATGTGTGGTGGTGTCCCTAAGAGAGCTCTGCTGTTCTCAGGTGGGCACCAGGCCTGGAGGGGCCGTACAGGGTCACCGAGGCAATGTGGTTGTTCTGCATGACCTGGTGTGAGAAAAGGACAGTGGGTTGGGGGAAGAGGTGGCAGTAGGAGGGCAAGCCCACAAAAACCACCAGCAGGATCAGCACTGGGACTGTGACTCTAGAGAAATGGATTTGAGGCAGGCCTATGTACGGGGCTGGGCTGGGGATTGTGCATGCAACGTAACTGCACACAGGGCTGAGCTTCCCAAATGTCAACACCCACCAACTTATGCTAGGGGCCACCTCTGTCCCCAAGGTTTTTGCCTGTTCCTCATGAGATACATATCCTTCACCACACCCACTTGTCCAGCCCTTCTGGAACAGCTAAGAGCCTGCTGAAGAAGGTATGACATCCCCAAGGGAAAATGGGCAGCCCATTCTTATTCCAACCCAGTGAGGCCTCCGCAGCCACTTAGACACAGTACATTCATTCACATGGCACTCCAAAGCCCCTAACACCCTGGGCTGAGCCCCACCTGCCCCCTGTCCTGTGGTTCCCCCTTCCCTGCTATACCCATGTTTTCAGATATAAACATGGAATTCCTGTTATCTCGCATCTTGGATACAAACCACTGCCTCGGCCTTTGAAACCCTGAATTTTCTGAACACTATTTCTGAACCCTCACTGATAAATTGCACAGGCCAGGTTCTTGGCAGACAGGGTTGCTAGAGCAGATTAACCAGCCCAGCACGGCAGTTAGGACCTCCTCAATCTCCCTCAGTCAGCCTATCTCTCGGGCCTCAAGGCTTACCTCAAAGATCATCCGCTGAAGACCAAAGCAGAAGGTGGAGCCAAATGGGTTTGTGTTGTTTGGGGAGGATGACCTGAGGCCGGAGAAGCCAGAATTAGAGGGGGCAGAAAGAGGCGAGGCTAGGCCAGGCATTCAGTCCCTCTTGGGATGGGGGCCCTTGGCCAGCAGTCTCTCGTGGCTGTGAGTATATGTCTGTCTCCCACACAGGCCCTTGAGGTCCTAGGAAGGAAGCGGCTTCACTCAGCTCTGAATCCTACACAGTCTAACCTGGCACAGAATGTCAGCACAGAAAGTTACTGTGGAACTGGACTGGGGTGGTGAGAAGTCAGGAGAGAAGGCCTTTTCAGGTATGAGAGAGCTTCAGGCAGCATGGCAATCAGAAATGGGGCTGCAGACTAGCAGGTAGCAAAGTGGAAAAAAGTCCAAGCCAGCCAGTCAAAACCACCCCCACCCCCTTAAATCACAACTAGGGTGAAAGGGCCTCCATCCCTGGAGGTAGGGTAGGGAGAGGGGAGCTATCCACAGGGGATAACTTCTCTGTCACAGGTAAACATGCAGAATAGTCGGCCCAGTCCCAATGTGCAGGGTAGGGCAGGAAGTATGTTTGTGGGAACCCAGAAACTTCTGTAATTTCTAAGCAATACCCACTGCTGGGCTACCCTGGGCTTTCTGGGCTGTGAGGAACAGGGTGGGGTGGTAAGAAACAACAACCTCCCACTCACCTGTGCAGGACCACAGGCTTCTCCACAGGGTGGCCCAGGAGCTCCTGGATGTTGTCCCACTGTAAGAGGAAGAAGGAGCAGCAGGAGGTTAGCAGGGACCTGAACAAGCTTGTGACCACTGGCAGGCCCAGGCCCACCTCATTCCCATGCTAGGTAAGAAGGGAGAGTAGTAGCTCACCTTGCTGTAGGTCGTGCATGTTTCTGTCTGACCATCTGCGTTTTCTGAAAAGAGAATACCAGGGGCACTTGATAGCTGGCCCAACCAAGATTCAGTTCTGCACTTGCTCAAGGAGATGGCTCAGCACCACCTGTGGCCCCAGCCCTAGGCAGAATCCAGACCTGGCCAACCTTTGCCCTGGGGTTGGAGCACAAAGGGAGGAAAGGCAGGCTGGCTGAGAGCCCTAGCGTGGAAGAGGTGGAGGGGTGAGGGAGGTGATAGACAAAGACTTTTAAAAAGATTTTTTAATTTGAGAAAAAGACTTTCAAGGCCTCCAGGAGACTAAAGACTGAGAACAAGGAGCCCAACCCAGAGGAGCTGAGGCTATGGGCAGAAGCAGGTGTATAAAGGCTCAACAACCTAACCACTACCACCCTCTCTGCTTGGATCTTTCTCCTTCCCTATAGTGGGAGACTGACTCCAAAACCCCTTCCTCCCCCTGAGGGCATCTACTACTCACCTTTCTTTATGGCTAGTGGGATTTTGAACTCACAGCGGTGATAACTAGAGAGAGAAGGCAGATAGGGTAAGGGCTAGGCCTCCTGGGAAGCCTGATGACCCCTGCACCCTAACCTCCCACCCTAGAAAAACAGAATCAGACGAACATGCCCGCCCAAAGCCCTGCCTCTGGGCCCCGACGGTGTTCACTGGGGACGGCCACATTTAGGACTGAAGGCGAACAGAAATAAGCATGGCCCCAGGGTCTGAAGACTTTATCATGTAGGATAAGACACCAAGCTTTCTAGACTTATTTCCCCATTTGTAATCTATAAGGTGTTGGGCACTGTGCCAACAAGCACTCAGTAAAAGAGGTTCACTTCCCATGAAACAACAAGAATTTAGGTAAAGAATAATTTAGTGAACACCCAAAGCCACAAGCTCTCTTTCCTGGGGTTTTCACTTCCTAGAGGTTCAGGACAGGTTTACTTACATGTTAAAGTTATAATGCCCAGGGTAATTGGTATGTAAGACAAACTTCTTCACTTTGTGTGTATTCGCATCAAAGAGGATGTCCTAGGACAGGAAAGAAGGGTGATCAAGTAGGGAACATTACTGAGGCAGGGCAGGGGCCTTTCCAATGTCCAACTC